AGCAAACAGCAAAAAATTTTATTGTTTTGAAAAACTAAATATGTTTCTTAATATCAAGATAAATACATAAATTAAAGTGCATAATAAACTGAAACTACATTATTGTGCTGCTCTATGATGTTATGTTCTTGTCTTTGTGTGTTTCTGAGAAACTTGTTAGAGCCTTAGATTATATCCTCATTACAGCCGGACTGTCTACACACAGGCAGTGACTGCAGAGTTACTTTGAAAAAGTAACTTTTATCAGATTACTGATTACTCCTTGAGATGGGAATTTAGATTACTGACTACTTTATTTGGAAAGTAACTAAGTGACATTAACAGTAACTATTTACTGTTCGATAGTTATGTACTGTAGCTATTTAACAGTAAATAAGTATTTATTTAACTGTTATTTAAATAACAGTAAATAGTTATTTACTAGTTAAATAGTTACAGTAAATTTTATAATGATTACATCAACACTGTGTCTCCAGTTATAAGGTTAAACTGAAGGGAAAACAGTACAAACAAGACTTTAGTAATTTGTGCATCTTTTTGTGTTTCTATTGTCTGGAAAACTATCATAGGATTTCAACAACACCTAAAACAACAACAAGCGACTTTAAAGAAACAAAACAAGCCCAAATAATCGGACGTTTGGAGCAGAACTCAAAATGCGCATCTGTCTCCACTGTTCATGTTTCTGGCGCATAGACTCTCCCCGAGCCGCAGAGAGGAAGTCAACTTTAATCACAAAAGAAAATAGTAACAAAGTGAGTTTGATAAGTCACTGTAGTCTGACTACTGGGTTTGAAACAGCAACGCGTTAGATAGTTACTGAATCAGTGGTTCAAAGTCAGTAGTGACATCACAGCACGGAGGTTTGTCTCTTACCTCCGTGAACATGAACTCTGCCTCCCGCCAGAAACCCTCTGTCCTCAGCGTCCACTAACCGTTCCACCATTCTTGAGGAGGGACCCGGAAGTTGATCTCTGCTCTGATTGCTGATGAAATGAAGCCACTCGAGCTGCAGCGGCTTCATTGGCCGGATCACGGGCCTTGACTTTGACATGTGCTGTAGAAAATGTAGAACCAACAGCAAACAGAAAAAGGAAATCCCACGTGAAAAAGTTCCGTCCGTCCATCCATCCATCCGTCTGTCCTTCCGTCTGTCCATCCGTCCTTCCGTCCATCCGTCCATCCATCCGTCTGTCCTTCCGTCCGTCTGTCCTTCCGTCCGTCCGTCCATCCATCTGTCCATCTGTCCATCCATCCATCTGTCCGTCCGTCCGTCCATCCGTCTGTCCATCCATCCGTCTGTCCGTCCGTCCATCCGTCCTTCTGTCCGTCCGTCCATCCGTCTGTCCATCCGTCTGTCCATCCATCCGTCTGTCCGTCCGTCCGTCCATCCGTCCTTCTGTCCGTCCGTCCATCCGTCTGTCCATCCGTCTGTCCGTCCGTCCATCCGTCTGTCCTTCCGTCCGTCCGTCCGTCCGTCCATCCGTCCGTCCATCCGTCTGTCCATCCGTCCGTCCATCCGTCTGTCCATCCGTCCGTCCGTCCGTCCATCCGTCTGTCCATCCGTCCTTCTGTCTGTCCATCCGTCTGTCCTTCTGTCCGTCCATTGTCTGCCACTAATCCAGGTCGGGTCTCGGGGGAAGCAGCTTCAGAAAGGAGGCCCGGTCTTTCCTGTCCCCAGCCACTTCTTGCAGCTCCTCTGGGGAACCCGAAGTCGTTCCCAGGCCAGCTGAGAGACATGGTCCCTCCAGCGTGTCCTGGGTCTTCCCCGGGTCTCCCTGGTCCAGTGAGAGCTGCTGATCACGTCCTGATGGAGCCAATAGGACCACATCATCCACAAAAAGCAGAGAAGTGACCCTAAGTCCACCAGAACGGATCTCCTCAACACCCTGACTGCGCCTAGAAATTCTGTCCATGAATGATGAACAGAATCACTGAGGGCAGCCCTGCTGGAGTCCAACTCTCACTGGGAACGAGTCCGACTAACTGCCGGCAATGCGGACCAGACACCTCCGGGACCCTGCTGGGGGTGTAGAGCTGATCCAGTGTTCCACGACCAGAACCAGAAACCACACTGCTCTCCCACAATCCGAGGTTCCACTATCAGACGGAGCCTCCTCTCCGAAACTCTTCCATCGTTCAACCCTGACCTGCTCCCTGGTAGAAACCCCAACACCAACAATGCTTCAGAGAGTCGGGCGTGCTTTTTCAAAATGAGTTTTTTGAGAAAAAACATGGCAGTCTTAAAATACCCATGATGGCACCCAATATTTCAAAGTTCCTGAATCATACATTGTTCGAAAGCACGCCCGACTCTCTGAAACATTGTTGGTGTTGTTTCTCCTGGCGTGTTTTCTTCCGTTTCCTCCGTGGTTGTTACAGTTTTCTCCATCTTGTTTAATTTGTCTTTGCCTTTCAGTTGATCTAATTTAATCTTTAACGCCACGATTTCCTTATTTAATTTGATGTTTTCTGCCTCCATCCAGACCCGATCTCTGGCGCTTTCCATTAAAGAAAAGTGGGCCTGTCGCCGAATGGATGTATGTTTCTGCTGCAGTTGTTCATTTGTGCGGGAAATATTCTTAACCTCTTTTTTTAAAGATTTAATTGTGGCTCTCGCCTCCTGCAAATCCATTTAGGGCCTTGATTCTGTAGTCATTCTCCTTTTTCAGGCTCAGAAGCCTCCTGTTCTGCTCCTCTATATATCTCAAGTTGCTGTCTGAGCTGTTGGACAGCTGTTCAATTTTGACCTGATTTTCTCCACGGTCATTTTAAGCTGGAGGTTTTCTTCTTCTAAACCCTTGAAGCGCTTCTCTAAAACGTTCACTGTATCAGCTAAACTGGGTTGAGCCATGGTGATCTTTAAACTTTCTGAAAACACAAATGAATCTCTCTGTGGAATCTTGGAATATAGAGACAGTCACCGATGATGTCACAGAGAGGATGAGTGACATCACAGTTTCACATCAAAGCCACAAGAAGTCTGTTGTGTGTGAGGGGGGAGGAGCGGGGGGAAGATGTTTTTTTTTACTTTGTTCCCAGACACACTGTATAACGACAGAGTGAAAGATTTCTTTCACAAAAAACAAATACAGATAAACAGCTCAGCTAATTCAAAGCGGTACAGATTTCAATTGTTTTAATAGTTACTTTTTGTCAGACTCTTGATATAAAACTTAACTTCATTGTATAATACAAGGCCTGGCTTTCCCTACCAGGAACAATGAATATGATATTTACCGAGTGACAATAAAGGATTTATGAGAAACTAAAACAAAAACCTGCAGCAGCATCATTCTCTAACATTACCTGTCATCTTCTTTGTTATTTCTGCCAGTAGTAACATCCAGTTATTGATCATCTGACACGTGATGTGAAAATGTGTTTCTGTTGCAGTTTTGTGAAATAAACTGATTTATACAGTGAGAAAACCAAACGCAAAAATTAATCAAAAACCATGTTTTTTTCAAAATGGTGTGTTTCCATTAGGTAAATTTATTGTTGTAATTCCAACTTGCACAATAATATGATCAATGGAAACACACCTGTATATTATTTATGAGGGCAATAGCAGGAGATAATCAGTCAGTATGATTTTTATGCTATCTAAACCTGTTTATCACTCTAACCAGAAATGTTTCCATGAACAACCTTCTACCTTCATTTTCTTGTGCAAGTAATAATTGACTTCATCGAAATAACTTCCCAACACAAAGATGATGGTTTCAAAATATGGAAAAAACATTTACACATGAGGAAATAACATTTTTTTTGAGACTGGAGTTCACTTTGGTTTTGGCTAGTTTTGGACTAGCTGTTAGCTTTAGCCTCTGGGATCAACTAATCAGGATTTATACAAAGTGAGGAGACATAAACTTTACTCTCACCTCAAATTTAGGGTCTGAATTGTGGAATAGACTATATTTGTTACCCGACTGGTAAACACTCACTATTGAATTTCAATACAGGAGAGCAAGGATTTGGACCTGATAAAGACTCATCAGAATGAACACTAAAGCATCATGGGAACTTCAGTAACGGCTTTATTAAATTAGTGCAAAAGACAGACAGAACTCATTCAAAATGTCCTTTTTTGTTTCAGTTGGTCTTCCAGCACACGCTACATTTCTCCGATGAGCGCAAAGATAAAAAGCAAAAGGATCCAGCGAGTCTTTGTTCTTCTTCTGACGGGACAGAGAGGCGGACAGAGAGGCGGACAGAGAGGCGGGAACGAGCCGAACCCAAACAGTCCAACAAACTCCAGTCCTGATTGTGCAAATTAATCACACTTCAAAAAGGAAAACAATCAGAAACCAAAGATGTTACAGTAAAATAGTGAACACAACAATAGGCTCTAAATTCACAGAAAAGATGGTTTCCTCTTTTAAAACAGACTTACTGTGAAGACTTGCAATCAAACTACATAAGTTAATCAATGCTGTATATTTACACAATGGTAAAAAATAAAAATATTTATTTAATAGTACTTTTTCAGGTTTACACCATGACTGTAAAGATTTACAGTTTTCCACTCTGTGATAACTAATGTGATAAAAACAGAAGCAAAATGAGGAAACTACTCCAGAGTCTCTTATTTTGAAGGCTTATGGCAACAACTTCGTCCTAAAAACGCCACAACCACCAACAGACTGCAGACGGAGAAAAAGGCTTCAGCCCTCTGAGACGGAAACAAGATAAACCATCAAACACGCTCTGACGAGAAGACAAAGACAAACCGCCGCGACCCGCCGCCAGACGGGCTGCTCAGTTCGCTGGGCCGGCGGCGGGCGGACGGGTCAACGGACGGATGGACGGACGGATGGGGGATGCAGCCAGGCAGTCTTCATGGGGGAAAAGAGGTAGCCATGATGACGGGGAGAGGAGGTTTCTGCTTCATTAGTTTCTGCTTTTTCTCTCAATATCAGTTTTAATGTTCCTTCAGGATGTGGCGCGATGCCAACGCCGCTACATTCCTCAATGATGCATGGAGAGGGGAGAGGAAAGAAAGAACAGGAACGCAAGATCAGAGGTGAAGATGGAGAGGAAGAATGAAGAGGGCCAACAGGAAACAGGAAGTGACTTAAAAACAAACATGGCTGACAGGCGGCGGCGCTGCTCCAGGGAGAAACTTCGAGATTTGCTTGTTGGATTTCGTCAAGGTGAGAAGATTTCCTCCTCTTCTCCTGATTCGTCGTTGCTTCTCAGTGGTGCGAAAAGGACAATGAGACGTTTCAGCAGGACTTACAGGCCTGGAGCGGGGTCAAGGGTCAGGGGTCAGGGTGGGGGATGGGAGGAGGAAACAAAAAGAAGAGTGAATATCATGGAGAAGAGCCCAGTTCACCTGGATCTGTTCATGATTTTCCAGGTACTGGCGAGGTTCTGTGGAGAAGTTAGGAGCCGTCAGTATCCAACCTGCAGTCAGACGGCTCTCTGATTGGAGAATCACAAACTCACCTGTCAGCCTGAACAGGTGAGAAAGAAAGAAATCAATAATCAATGCTGCAAACGCAACTTCAGTGAAACTTCACTTCTGGCTCTGGAAGTTCAGGTTTCATGTTTATGTCACCTGGAGAGATTTAACACCTGGAGAGACCTGAGAACCACCACACACACACACACACACACACACACACACACACACACACACACACACACACACCACACACAGACACACACACACACACACAGAAACACACACACACACATACCAAAACACTCTCTAATTGCTTTTATTTTAGAACATCTCATCTTTTAAAATGACACTTTATCTGAATGAAATTTAACACATGAACATTTTAAAACATTTTCTCCCATTTTAATTATTTTATCAGGGCCTTTGGATGGTAAATACACTCTTTTTTTATTTTTCTAATGATAGAAATAACCCCAAACTCATTTTTCAACCGTTTTCTCAAACAAACGTTACATCTGAGATTCTAAGTTTCATGTTTGAGATACCAACAGTGTTTTCACATCTTTTGATCATCTTTGGATTTTGATCAGATCTTTGGAACACATCTGTAAATGTTGCACATTTCCTTGAAATTTAAAAAATAAATCAAAAACCTAAACAGTTGCAAAATTGTGGAGCTCTTTTTGTGGCTCATCTAAACAATTTAAACAATTTATCTCGAGCTAAAAGAGCGTGCAGTATGAAAGAGCGGAGGCTTACAAAAGAACAAACATTTACGCACGCTATGCGCACCATTTCTTTTTCTATCACGGTCCTGAATCATGTGTAAGTCTTTTTATTTATGATTTTAACTAAATTGGCAACGTGGCAACATTACTGTTCAGCTCACCTTCGTTTTAGTGGGAACAATGTGCTTTTGATCCGGTTAATGCGGATCATCATCTGTGGAGCGGTATAACCGCAGATCATCTTCAACCAGCAGCCTTGACCGGGATTTGCTTTTTATCATTGCGAGAGCGGAAAACCCACATTCACAGAGATAGGTTGAAGTGAAGGAGATGAACACGTTTACTAAAAATTTGCCATTTTTTTTCTCTCACATCCAGCAAGCGGATAGCTTCTTCTTCGGTTTATTTTTTTCCTCGCACCGCGCCTCCCCTAATGTGCTCTGGCGCCCCCCAGAGGAGGCGCGCCTCACACTTTGAAAACCGCCGATTTAGATCAATAATGAAGATGGAAAATGTTGATTTGCTGTGCAGCTGGGAGTCAAGGCCATCAGTGATGGATTGTGGGTAAGAGTTCATCTTTTCAGAGAACTGCTTGTTTTACAACGAGGCGCTGCGGCATTTAGCTCTTGGTTTGTTAAATATTATCAAACTGTAATAAATTTGATCAAACTGTAATAAATTTGATCAAACTGTAATAAATTTGATCAAACTGTAATAAATTTGATAAAACTGTAATAAATGTTATCAAACTGTATTAAATGTTATTACTCATTGTTTAATAAGTCAAACTAAAACTTCTGCTACTAAATGAATCAAATTGAGTGAATCAAAGCCAAACTGAGTGATTGTGACTCCAAGTCACTGAGGCTGAAGCTGCATAATATTCTGACAGGTTTTACAGTGAAGCTCCATTTATAACAACAGAGTCAGCATAATGAAATACTTTTATGTTTATTTATACGCAACATATTGTGGTGTTCCAGACACAGAAATTAATGAAACTCTGTAGGTGGCGCTCTCGTGGTTTTTGAGAGTCTGGTTAGAGAACCTGTAACTACAGAAGAAGAAGTGAGTTCCAGTTTGGAAATAAAATGTTGCTATGTGCTTGTTCCAGTCGTCTGCTTGGACATCATTTATTTTGAACTAGTGTTCCATACACAACAGAATTTTGGCGACGAGGATGGGATTGTTCAAGCTGGAAGGCACAGAGTGCGCAGAAGCTGCGGCTCCATAGAGGCAAAACGGGACCGTTAAAAGCCGACCGTTTGGGTGAGTGAAAGGACCGCCGAACCAGAGCTACAAAGATGGCGTTTGGAAAGCCAGAAGATTTTCACTTCGAGGAAAGTGAGGAAAGTTTTGACAACTACCGCGAGCGTCTCGAGCAGTATTTTGCGGCAAACGACTTGGACACTAAAGATGAGAAAACTAAGTCGGTGTTTTCTCACGGTGGTGGGGAAACGATCCCACAGCTTGTTGATGGATCTGTGTGCTCCGGATAAACCGTCAGAGAAAAGCTACGAGGAGCTGGTGGATTTGCTGCAGAAGCACTACGTACCAAAGACTAACTTTATTGCAGAAAGGTGCAAGTTTCACGGAAGAAACCAAAAAGACAATGAAACAATCAGTGAGTACGTGGCTAGTTTACGAAAAGTAGCAGCTACATGTAAATTCGGGACTTTCTTAGAGAAGCTCTGCAACAGATTTGTCTGTGGGGTAAAGAGCAGCGAGCTGAGAGACCGTCTACTCAGCACCGCGCACACCAAAGACTTGACGCTGCCGCTGGCTGTAGAGATGGCGCTATCCTTTGAGGTAACCAAGGACAGTGCACAGCAATTTGCACAGAAAGCTTTCAAGGCTCATGTAGTGGACAAAAGAGTGAAACCAAAATACCGTGAAGCTGAGAAATACAGTGGCCGGTAAGCCCTGTTATCGCTGCGGTGGAAAATCATAACCCGAATGACTGCAGGTTTAAAGAAAGTGAGTGCCACGAGTGTAAGAAAAAGGGACACATCGCAAAAGCCTGTCGCGTAAAGAAGGTTGTTCGAGTACGACCAAAGGAACCATGCATCTGGATTTTAAGAGGCAACCCAGCGCTCTCAAGCAGCGCCATGATGTCTGTGTTCATCAACAGCAGGATGTCCACAGTCCGCATAGCCCCCCTGAAGATGCGCCCCAGGATGCAGATCCAGGCAACCAGCATGGATTGAAAAGAGATCCCGAGGACAACCAATTCCTGTCACATCAAGTCAGAGAAGAGCAGCCAGTAATGTGGTTCAGTGCAAGACGGAAGCTGCACCGAACTCTGACACTGTTCCAGATCTGACATTGGACAGTCCAGATTTTGGTCTGTTTGAAATGAACACAGGTAATGATGACATTGTAAAGCCTTACTATGTGTATGTCAGTGTAAATGGTTCAAGAGTGAAGATGGAACTAGACACTGGTGCCGCAGTGTCAGTGATATCTGAAAATCTGTATAAGCGCAGATTTAAATCAGTCAAACTTAGTTCAGCAATTGTGTACTTAAAACGTACAGTCAAGAGTCATTACAGTTGATGGGTAAATTTGTGGCAAAAGTGAAATGTCAAGAGACCACTAAGAAACTAGAACTGTTAGTAGTAAAAGGAAGACGCCCTGCTTTGATGGGTAGAGACTGGATTAGCCAGTTGAAGCTAGACTGGTCACAGGTGAACAGAGTGGCTCCAGAAACAGTGGAAGACATTTGCGCTCAGTATGCATCAGTGTTCAACCCTGAGCTAGGCAAGTTGAAAGGTATTAAAGCCAAGTTACATGTTGTTCCAGAAGCAACGCCAAAGTTCCACAAACCAAGAAATGTTCCATATGCATTAAGAGGAGCTGTTGAAAAGGAACTGAAAAATTGGAGGCAGAAGGAGTTATTTCACCCACTAATTACAGTGAGTGGGCTGCTCCAATAGTGTGCATACCTAAAAAGGATGACAGTGTGAGACTATGTGGAGACTATAAAGTCACCATCAATCCATGGTTAAACGTGGATCAATATCCACTTCCAAAAACGCAAGATCTATTTGCAAAATTAGCAGGAGGTCAGAAATTTACCAAACTAGACTTATCGCAGGCTTACCAGCAAGTCCAGTTGGAGGACAGCTCTAGGTGCTACCTGACCATCAACACTCACAAAGGGCTGTATCAATACAACAGGTTGCCCTACGGTGTTGCAAGTGCTCCTGCAATTTTCCAGAAAATAATGGATCAAGTACTTCAGGGCATGGATGGTGTTATCTGCTATCTTGATGATATTTTGATAACTGGTAAAGATGCAGAAAGCCACCTGAGTAACTTAAAGGAGGTCCTTAAGAGGCTCCAAAGCTACAACCTTAGGGTAAGGAGAGAAAAATGTGAATTCATGCAAGACAGTGTTTCATATTTAGGACATGTCATTGATGCTACTGGAATTCATCCTATGAAGGAAAAGACAACCGCTATTCAGAAGGCTCCAGTTCCAAGAAATGTAACTGAACTTAGGTCATTCTTGGCTCTGTTAAACTACTATGGGAAGTTTATACCAAACTTATTGACTGATCCAGCCAATGTCAGCACTGCTACACAAAGATGCAGACTGGAGTTGGTCAGAAAGTTGTCAGAATGCTTTTGAGAATGCCAAGAAGGCTCTTCAATCTGACAAAATTTTGGTACATTTTGATGCAGAGTTACCACTTATTTTAGCATGCGATGCATCTTCTTATGGAGTTGGTGCTGTAATCAGTCACCAAATGAAAGATGGAAGTGAAAGACCGATTGCATTTGCATCACGAATGCTAACTAAGACTGAACAAAACTACTCACAAATTGAAAAAGAAGCACTTGGTTTAGTGTGTGGTGTTATGAAGTTCCATGACTATCTTTATGGAAGGAAATTCATTTTGGTAACAGATCACAAACCATTGCTAAAAATCTTGGGACCAAAAACAGGTGTACCAACACTAGCTGCTGCTAGATTGCAAAGGTGGGCTCTAATTCTAGCTGCCTACAAATATGAGATTCAGTACAAAAGATCTGAGCAACACAGTAATGCGGATGCTTTATCAAGGTTACCGATGAAACCAAATGTGGATGTGGTGTCAAACCCTATTTACAAAGTATCTTATCTTGACGAGCTACCTATCACTGCAAAGGAGGTTGCAAAAGAAACAGACAAAGATCCTGTGTTAAAGGTGGTGAAACAGCTGGTGTTAACTGGCTGGCCTAAACATGTACAGGATGAGTTGCTGAAGCCATATTTTCAGAGACGTTTTGAGCTCACTGTTGAAGATGATTGTCTACTGTGGGGATTACGAGTGGTGGTGCCTAAGAAATTAAGGGATCAGTTGATTTCTGAACTACACGAGCATCACTGGGGAATAGTAAAGATGAAATCTCTTGCCAGAAGTTTTTTCTGGTGGCCAGCAGTAGATGAGTGCATTGAACAGGAAGTCAGTGAGTGTACTATTTGTCAAAAGCAGCGTAGTATGCCTTGTACAGCACCAGTGCATACCTGGAAGTGGGCTGCCAGCCCGTGGGAGAGAATCCATCTGGACTTTGCAGAGGACTGCAAGCAGATGTTTCTAGTAGTTATGGATGCCTATGCTAGATGGCCAGAGATTATTCCCATGCATACTACGACTTCAGTCAAAACCATTGAAACACTGAGGAATTTGTTTGCTGCTTATGGGTTACCAAAAGAAGTTTATAACGGTCCTCAGTTTGTTTCACAAGATTTTGAGTTTTTTCTAAAAAAGAATGGAGTGCAGCACATTAAGTCACCTGCTTACCACCCTGCCAGTAATGGACTAGCAGAGCGCTTAGTCCAAAATCTCAAAAAGTCACTAGCCAAGAATCGAGCTGTAGGTGGTTTAACACTTGAGCACTGTGTTGCAAATTTTCTTTTAGGGTATCGAAACACACCCCATACAACCACAGGGAAAACTCCTGCTGAGTTATTCCTAAAAAGACAAGTTAGAATTAAAGCTGCAAGCAGCCTCGAACGGCCCTCGCAGCCAAGCGCCGCTCCGGCCTATTGTCCACCGCAGGGTACGAACAACCGCCGCCTCACGTCAGCCACCACAGAAGCTCTCACGCAGTTTTCAGCTCCTCCGCCCGCACGCAGAAGCTGTTGCTCAGTTTCCATCAACGCTCGCCACGTGCTAAGACAGAAGTTGTTGCGCAGTTTCCGCGCCCGTCCACCAGGCGGTACGCACTGATGCGTTCGGAGTCGCTCCTTGACGATGCAAAAATGTGGTGCAGATTCATTGGTTTAGCGAGGAAATATAGCTGGCGGATTAATGTAGGACACGCAGTGGAGTCAAAATATATTTCAATGCTGTTGTTCTTTTTAGAGGTCAACAAAGGTCATACGTATCCAATTTGGCGTCAGTCGGATGATCCACGTGTCATTTACAGCCGATCGTATGCACAGTTCGTCATTTTTCATCATTTTCAGCTGTGTTTCTAAAGCACTCTATTTCATTGTTGGAGTAATACTTACTCAGAGTGGGCGTATTACTGAAATGGTTTGAAAGAAGTAAGAAAACGCTACATTTACTGCATGATTTAATTCAACAAAAATTATCTGAGACATTTCTATGCTTTTAGAAATTTCATGGCAACGCTCTCACAAAGTTTTCGCGCCCATCCGCCCGTGGATCT